CGACTTCCTTTCTAGCAATACTCGATGGTGTTGTGTTAGAGCGCCACCTAGTGACGTAAGGCTTCCCTGCCAGTATATGCTCTCCTCCCCTGCACTCAGGCTTCAGCTCCAGGCAGCATTCGCTCCATAAGACGCACAGACATTTTCCCCCACCTTTTGGGGGGGGAAAAGTGCGTCTTATAGAGCGAAAAATACGGTATTCACAAGAAAGATATATTTTGGTTTGGAGAAGATGGATAGATTTTATTGAGAGTAAATATGGAACTAAAAAGTTTCATTTGGTTTTTGAGTAAATTTTAGAGTGTTAATGTAGCTTATTTTTATTTACAAATAGTAATAAGATGTTATAATTATTGTGTTTAATATGTTTGTTTAGAAGAGAGCTAAAGGATGTTATAGAATTGTTAATTTAATAGTGATCTAATGTTAGACAGAGTATATCTACTGTATTGTTAACCCTGTGATTGGCTCTGGGAAGTCGGGGGGGAGGGAGGGGGGTGGGGAAGGGTGGGTTTTGGGGAGGAGGGGAGATGTATTGTAAAACCTTTAAAAATTTTCAATAAAAAAAAAAAAGACCCACATTGCTGCAGCTTCTTCATATTGTTCCTTTAAACTGCATGATGTGGGAAGGGGATTTATATAATATTTCTCTGGGTTTCAAGGTGAGAGCTCAAAGCCGAGACAAACAAGTGGAGGAGCGGATGCTTTCTCACCGACAGGATGACAATAGGCAGGCTACCAGACACCAGGTAGTATCTTTTAATTTTATATGTATTGTTCAAGTATGTGCTGACTTTAGAACCCCAGCTGGCAAATGTCTTTCATAGTGGTCGTTGTACATCAAACCCTTTTTCAAACATTAAAGTAATTTTGTGGTGGATAAGATTCTGTCTGAATATATTGTATGGCCTCTTATTTGAAATGTATGCATTTTTATTCAATTATTTGTTAAATATATTTTGTTCTTTTGTAACTCTTGCACACATCTTTTTTGTTTTTTTGTTCAGAAAGAGGGAAGGGAGATGATTCCATGTATGTTTATTACTTAAGGGTTGCCGCATGGCACTGTGACAGCCATGCACATATGAATAATCTTTCCAGCTCTTAATTTCATGCTGTAGTGCAGCATTATAAAAAGCTGCTCTTCTGATAAACTGGGGGAAAATGCATAAAACAGGTGCAGTATTGGAGAACCCATGGAACATTGGTGAAACAAGATACTGAACTTCACACAATATGGTTCAATAGTTAATGGTCCTGTTGTACTATGTTGTGCGAAGTTCAATGTTCCAGCAATGCTGCAACTTGCAGGACATGGTTATGCATCTGACTTTCACAGATACCTCCAAAAATGTAACAGAGCCATGTAGCTGGTGTCAGGCAGTTTTCAAATAGTCCCTAGGTTTGTCTGTGTGTGTCCATGTGTGTCCCTCTCCTAAGCAAACATTTTGTTTCTTATTCCCTGCAAGGCACCAACTGAAAGACAATTGAGATACAAAGAGAAAGTTGCAGAGGTGAGAAAGAAGAGGAATGCAGGCTTAACTAAGGAGCAGAAGGAAAAATACATGGTACAGAAACCTCATTTCTTTTCCTTAGAGAGTTGAGCATGGGAGAATGAGCCAAACATTAATACATCTTTCTCAGTCTAGTCCCTCCAGATGTGCCATCATTGTCCTTAAGCACAATCTGGTAGGTTAGAGAAATTGGAGCTAAAGCTTAATGCACCTGGATCAATACTTTTATGCCATGGATTCACAAAGAACAGTTCTGTATGCAACAAGCTTCAAGATGGAGAACGGTGGCTGAAATGGATAATAGAGATCTGGGGCTAAAATTAGAATTTAAATGTTGAGCTGAAGTGTTAACTCTATTGTTTAGAATCCATATGTGAATTCCAGCCTTGTTATTATAGCCCTTCTTTCCCATAGGATACTATCCCTCTGACCTGTATCACATCTGAGCTCACAGAAGTGAAGATGGTTTTAGAAGCTCTCTAGTCCTGCCCTCCATTTGAGGCATGAGAAATAGAGCATTTATTAAATGGACTGTTGAGTCTTTAAGCCTGATGCTTAAAGGTCTTCAGCCAAAGAGAAAAAAGTTTTTTCTAAGTTCATAGTTCTATCCTTAAACTGCTCATACCATTTAGAAGCTTTTACCATGTTTCCAAGCAAATGCTAGTTTCCATTAACTTAAGCCTGTTAAGATATTCTGAGGCATCAGAAAACTGTTTTCTATGATGAAAAGGAGCAAGTGGGACTGTAATAGTAGTCTTCTCTCAATGAACCATGTCAACATTCCCTGTACATTTTTTTCTCATTATCCAGTCACCTGAATCTTCTTTTAAATGCATTTTAATTAATTTACATTTTTCAGCATGAACATTTTTCGTAAAAGCCTTTCAGTTCTCTGAAAGTAACAGGGAATATAGTGTCACTACCGAAAGGAGTGGGGCTGAATTTTTAGGCCAGTTTTTTATGGCAAGAAAGTTTATAGAAAACAGGTTAATTTTTCAGTTTCTTTCACGTACTATTTACAGCTTATTTGAAAAATGGAAAGACTGTACTACTGAGAAATAGTGGTTTACCAAGGAAACTTCACAATAGTCTTAGGGGTTTGGGGGGCTGCATAAATCTGAATGGACATATGTAGTCTATGGTGGTTTTTTACCTTTTTTTAAAAAAAAGATGCAGTATTAATAACAGCTTATCTTCATTCCTTTCGTGCTTCTTTGCTTCCTCATTTTCAGCATACCTCTGTGTCCATAGATCCTGTCTGTAGTTTCTCTTCCCTCCCCTCCTTTACCCCAGCCAGCCCAACCTTTCTTTTTCTCAGAGCAATGTTGCTTGTCTTTCTTATGGCTGATTATCCATCCATGCCTACCCTCTAAAGCAGGGGTGTCAAACTGCCGGCCTGCGGGCCGGTTGCATCATATGGAGGCTGCTCCCACCCCAGCTCTAGCAATGCAAAAAAAAAGTCACAACACATCGCGACACATCACGTGATGCAGTGAGTTTGACACCTGTGCTCTAAATAGGATGGTGGCTACCAGGAGCCAATTCCCCAAGGCCAGGGGAAATTTATTCTTTGTGTTTATGAGATATTTCTTCTGTTGTTGCTTCAGGAACACAGAAAAACCTATGGCAACACTAGAGAGCCCCTTCTAGAGAATCTGACCAGTGAATATGACCTAGAGCTATTCCGACGAGCCCAAGCAAGAGCTTCTGAAGATCTAGTAAGTAGGACTGAGCTAATTTAATTTCATGTTGCAGCTGTGAAGTAATAAGCCACTTATACTTACTTCCCTGTAATGTATGCAAATTCCTGTAAATTGATAAAACCAAAGTAAGCTGATGGAAGAAAACAAAGCTAAAAGGTTGATTGTACACTTCATAGCAGAGCTTATAACTTTTTGAAGGTTAAAGTTTGGTCTTGTCCTATTATATTGAGGACACACATTCCAAAAGTAAACAGGAACAGGACCCTAGCGTATGTTTACATTTTATTACATTCAATGTAATTAAATATTATGCTCAGGGTATTTATCTCTTTGGCTGTTTAAAAAAATATAATCTAGTTATAACCTATAGGATTATGGCTAATTTTAAATTAGAAATGCAATAGAAAAACCATAAAGAACAGATGAGTCTATCAATAAATTACCTCATATACTGGTGATCTTTTCTGGCCTGATGGCTGTGATAAATGGTTGGCCTACCTAAATAACATTTTTGCCAGTCAGACTTGTTTTTTTTAGATTAATACACAGGCATATTAACTGAAAACATATACTGAGTATGCTTCAACATAGGTATAATGTCTTGAAGCATACTCAGTAGGAGACAAAGCAATAAATGGGGTAAAATAAGAGGTTGGGACAGTTACCTTCCAGCCATTCATCTCTGTATTTGATTATGTTTTACTCTTCAGTGAAGGCATTTTATGGTTTGTTCTATATCCAGCTTATGGATCAAATTCACTGACCTGAAAAAAAATAGTACAAAAATGCTTATGTTGTGATGCTTATTCAGCTCGAAATTGCTCTCCTTGATGATCAAAGATTGTAAAGTGTTTTTAAAAACTCCCCTCTAGCTGCCTAAAATATAGCTTGATTCATCTTTCTTGCATAGATGAAAAAACAGCTTGTTTAGGCCTTGGGCAGGGCTTTTGGCTCTCCAGATTTCCTGTCTCTAATGGCTAATTGCAGTCAGATCTCTATAGTTCAGTGGTTCTCAACCTGTGGGTCGGGACCCCATTTGGGGTCGATCGACCATTTCATGGGGGTCGCCAAGCAAGGCTGTCCGCCATTTTTTTGTCCGCCATTTTTTTCCCCTTTTCCGGCAGGTGCCTTACCTCCCTTGGGCTGGGCCAGCTGGTGGTCGGCCTGCTCCGTCTCTGCCGCTTGCCAGCTACGCCTCGGCCGGCGCAGGGGGCGGAACCACGCATGCACGGTGCTCCCAGGCAGGGAAAGTCCTCGACTTACGACCGGTTGGGTAGTCCTCGACTTACGACCGGTTTAGTCCTCGACTTACGACCGGTTTAGTCCTCGACTTACAACCGGTTTAGTCCTCGACTTACGACCGGTTGGGGTCGCGGCATTAAAAAGGTTGAGAACCACTGCTATAGTTGTTCAGGTTAACTACTATTATACCAGTAAGCCATAATTGTGCCGTATCAATTGTGCAGTATCTCCTGTTTTGTTTATCAGTTTTACAATACCTGCATATGATGAACCTGTGACTACTGAGTGGCAGGATCTGGTAAGCTACTGAAGCTAATGCACTTTATATAGTCATCTGAAGTGCAAAGGTCAATCAAAATAGAACTGGAAGGGACCTTGGAGGTCTTCTAGTACACCCCCCCTGCTCAAGCAGGAGACCCTATGCCATTTCAGACAGGTGGCTGTCCAGTCTTCTTAAAAACCTCCAGTGATGAAGCACCTACAACTTCTGAAGGCAAGCTGTTCCACTGGTTAATTGTTCTCACCCATTGATCAAGTGTCTGGGAAGCGGAGGGCGCCTGGGGGTATTTGGGTATCGGGTTGAACTCTTTTCCTGTGGCCACTTTAAAAGGCGTGAAGCCAGTGCTGCTATGAACAGAGTTATTGTAAGCCACCTCTGCGAAAGGGAGGAGGTCAGTCCAGTTAGTTTGTTGGTAGCTGACATAGCATCTGAGATATTGCTCCACCATTGAGTTCACGGATTCAGCCCCCCCATTAGTAGATGGATGAAAAGCAGATGATAGACCTTGAGATGAACCAATTAATTTAAGAAAGCTCCTCCAAAACCTAGCTGTGAACTGCACCCCCCCTGTCCGAGATTATTCATTTAGGTGCACCATGCAGCCGGTAGATGTGTTTCAAAAACATTTTGGTCAGTCGTTGGGCAGACGGGAGCCCTTTGCAGGCGATGAAATGAGCCTGCTTTGTGAACAGATCTATCACAGTCCAAATGACTGTATTCCCTCTACTTTCAGGTAGATCTACTATAAAATCCATAGCAATTTCTTCCCATGGTTGGGAAGGGTCAGCCACTGGTTGCAACAACCCAGGGGGTTTCCCTGGAATTCTTTTCATGGTGGCACATACAGCTCAACTCCTGACATAGCTTTCCACATCCCGTTTCAATCCCAGCCACCAGAATTACCGGCGGATGAGGTGTAGTGTTTTTAAATATCCAAAGTGTCCAGCCTGTTTTACGTCATGGCCATGTCAGAGAGCGTTAAGGCGGAGGGTCCAAGTATAACTTTCCCCCCTTGTAAACCAAACCATCCCTGCACGTTAGGGAGGTTTGAGTGTCCTTGAACCATTGGTCAGTGAGGAGCTCTTGTTTTATTTTCTTTGCCCCAGGGTCATCAGGGTTAGGGGCTCTTGAAGTTGGGACTCTGTGCGGCGTATGTTGAGAGGCTGTTTGTGGATTGGAGATAATTGCCTCATTAACCTCTTCATGCTGGCTTTTGTACTGGGGCAGTCTGGATAGAGCATCAGCTAAGACGTTTTTTCCTCCCGGTATGTACTTTAGAGTGAAGTTAAAACGGTTAAAATACTGTGCCCATCGCACTCGTTTCGGGGAAAATTTGCGGGGAGTTTTCAGTGCTTCTAGATTTTTGTGATCAGTCCATACCTCGAAAGGCACCTTACTCCCCTCTAGATAGTGTCTCCAGTTTAATAAGAGCCCAGCGGATTGCGAAAGCCTCCTTTTCCCACACAGCCCATCTCCTCTCACACTCAGTGAATTTTTTTGAGGTGTAGGCACAAGGTTTTAAGGTCCCACTCTGGTTCTTTTGTAGTATTACAGCTCCAATGGCCACGTCGCTGGCATCGGCTTGAATTACAAAGGGCTGCCCTGGGCAGGGATGCTTTAGGACCGGTTCAACAGGAAATAGTCTTTTTAGGTTCTCAAAAGCAGTCTGACAGTTCATAGTCCATGCTAGTGGATGGCCCGGTCGCGGCTTCCCCCCCCTTTGCCTGTTTTTAGTAATTCCGTGAGGGGTAGGGCAATTTCGGCAAAGGAGGGGATGAATTGACGGTAGAAGTTGGCGAATTCTAGGAAGCTCTGGAGCTGTTTGCGAGTCTTTGGAGGCTGCCATTTAATTACAGCTTTCACTTTGGTCAGGTCCATTTCAATGCCCTCACTGGAAATTCTGTAGCCAAGATAATCCAATCGGGTCTGGTGAAACTCACATTTTGATAGTTTGACATAAAGTTTGGCATTCAACAGTTTCCTTAGCACTTCTCTTACTAGTTTTACGTGGTCAGTCATATTCGTGCTGTATATCAGGATGTCATCAAGACACACCAGAACCCCTTTGTATAAATGGTCATGTAGAACCTGATTAATCAGCTGCATGAAGACAGCTGGGGCCCCTGTAGTCCAAATGGCATGACTTCAAATTGATAGCTCCCCATGGGACAGTTAAAAGCAGTCTTCCACTCATCTCCCTCCTTTATTCTCACCCGGTAATATGCCTCTCTCAGGTCTAACTTAGTGGAGACACTCCCCTTGGCCAGGTGGGTTAGTAAGTCCTTCCGGAGGGGGAGGGGGTATTTATTTTCCACACTCACCACATTCAGACCCTTATAATCCACGCAGAGACAAAGCAACCTGTCTTTTTTTCCTTTAAACAACACAGGGGCTCCCACAGCAGACTTGGCCCGTTCAATGAATCCCCTCTCTAGGTTTTTGTCCACATATCGCTGCATTTCCTCCATTTCAAGGGGGGACATAGCATACATCCTCAGTCGTGGGAGTTTGGCTCCCGGTAATAGTTCGATGGAGCAATCATTGGGTCTGTGGGGAGGCAGGGCATCGCATTCTTTCTCACTAAATGCCTCCGCTAGGTCCCGGTATTCGCTGGGGATGATTGGTTCGCCTGGTTGCGATAAGGCAGCCATGTGCACTAGCTCATTGGGTGGGCTAAAATCTCCTGTAACGTCCGTTGAATTAGTGGGGGGCTTGGGTCCTATAGTTAGCCTTACAGTCCTCATTCCCTTCTCCCACCAGATAAACGGCTTCCATTTGTCCAACCAGGCTAGCCCTAGGATCACAGCCTCAGTCATTTTTGGAGCCACCATGAAACAAATGAACTCCCAGTGCTCACCTACGTCTAAGCATAGGGGTTCGGTCAATTGTGTGATTAAAGTTCCTCCCATTAGGGAGCTATCGGCTTGCTCAAACCTCACGGGTTTGGAGAGCAGCTTTGCTCATATTCCCATTTTCAGGGCAAGTGACAAGCTAATAATGCACTGGGAGCATCCGGAGTTGACTAGTACTTTTAAATCTACCTGTGCCCCCGTCTTAGCGATTATGAGTTTGGCAGGTAGTGAAAAAGGTGGGATGTGTCGACTCACCATCGCGTCGTTCTCTCCTTCGTCGTCGCTGTCGTAGGAAGGTAGAACGATGGCAGGTCCGGCTTGGGTCACAGCACTCTCCTGCGTGGGGGACATGACTTGAGCAACAGGTTTCTGTACGATCCAGTTGGATTTCTCTTTCGTTGGCTGCTGGGTTGGTTTCTTCCTCGCTGGTGGTCCTGGTCTATTCTGCTGCTGGGGGTAAGTGACTGGGCAATTCGCTGCTCGGTGTCCCTGCTGTCCACATCTGAAGCACTTGATTGACGGCCCAGCAGGTGGTTTGGGATTCTCTGCAGCCGTAGCGGTTGGAGGCTTTTGGAGGGGGTGGCTGTCGCTTGGGTTGATTTGGCCTCGACTCAGCTTCCTGGGGGGGTGGCTTCTGATAGCAGGCAAGCTGAACATCTAGTCTTACTGCTGCCTGGTACCACTCTTGCAGCTGATCTGGGACTGCTCGATAAATACAAGCCTGGGAGAGGTGGTCGTCTAGTCCCTCCCTGAAGTGATGGACCAGGGATTGCTCGGGCCACCTCTCTATTCAGTCGGCTATCTTGCGAAACTCTCGTACATATTCCAGTGCAGGCCTGCCAGCTTGTTTTATTTTGTGGATTTGCTCCTCCGCTTTGAGGGCAATAGATGGGTCCTTGAACCTTGCTCTCAGTCCTAGGAGGAAGAGATGGGGGTCTTCTAACTCGGGTGCTTGCTCGTTATATAAATTGTTCAGCCACTCGGATGCTTCTCCTTCTCAGCTGGACGCAATCATGTCGACCCTAGCAGCTGGGTTCGGATAGAAATAGGCACAGCGGTTCAAGTGAGAACGCACCTGATGGAGGAAAAAGATCTGCTTCTCCGGGTCCGCATCAAAGGTGGCTGTAAGAGGTGGCGCCATCAGTGGTTGCTGGCCTCCTCACTGTGGGTGTTGCATCCCCAACTGTTGCTGCCCCCCCATGGTTGCTGCTGCATTCCCAGTTGCTGCAAGCCTCCCAACGGTTGTTGCGCACCCGGGGGCTGTTGCCATTCCCCCTGCTGTTGTTGCATTGCCGGAGGCTGTGGCACTCCCAATTGCTGTACGACCCCCACCGATCTCAGCGGCTGCTGTAATGGCACCCCCAGCTGCTGCGGGCCTCCCAGCGGTTGCTGCATGGGTGGGGGCTGCTGCCATCCCCACTGCTGTTGGCCTGCGGGGGTTTGTGGCGTCCCCAGTTGCTGCAGGTCACCCTGCGGCCTCGGAGGCGGTGGTTGCTGGATCTCCATCGGTTGTGGGGCCCCCAGCGGTTGTTGCATGTTCGGGGATGGCTGCCAATCCGATTGCTGCTGCAGCGCTCCCAGCAGTTGCTGACCCCTTGGCAGATGCATCATCCACGGTTGTTGCAAGGTCCCCATCTGCTGCTGCACTTTCGGGGGCTGTGGCCATCCCCAATTCGGCTGCTGCACTGCCAGCGACTGCTGGCTTCCCAGCTGGGGAGGCTGTAACATTTTCAATTGTTGTGTGGGCCCCGGGCTCGGTGGCTTCGAGGACTGGGAGGGTGCCCGAACTGTGCAATGGGGGCTGGGGGTCTCCCTTGTTAGGAGTTGGTGGCTGCCTCTTCGATTGTCATGATCACTCACATATGGGGAGCGGGAAGGTTGTTCTCCACTCTTCATTTCTAACTACTCAAATCTTTCCACCAACTTCTCCACTGACTGTCTACGTGCTACGGACAGGTACTTCCACTCACCCGAGTCCTCAGCGGTAGACGGTTTTGTGGTTCTCCACCGGTCTGGGGAATGTGAGGTGCGGGAATCCCTTCGTAGCAGCTCAACCCTGTCTGCCTTTGAAACACTTGAGGGTGGCAAGGCGAGGTGTCTGGAGTCTTTGCTGGGTAGGGTCCATTCCGACAACCAGATCAGCTGTCCTTGCGGCTTGGGCTTTGCCCCCAGCTGGGAGGCCGGAAAAGGTCCTTCTCCACCGGCGCACTGGCTGTCGCTCCCCCTTGTGGGGTAGCAGCCGCTGCCGGGGTGCTGGTTTCAGGCGTTCTCTCTTTCTTCATGCTGAGATCTTCCCCGAATCTTTGTCAGCTTTTCCCTCTTTTCTAGGGACAGCGACTGGGGCTCTGGACCCCAAGATAGGAAAAAGTTGGAGTTTTTGGCTTAATGTCATGGTTCCGACAGATGAAACTCTTCAAAAGAACTTTGAGGCATTGTTTACCTTAAAGAATCTTTTATTCAAGAAGCATAACATCGGCACTGCATAATCGAAGCCAAAAACTGAATTCCCCTCCCCTGAGCACATAGTATCAAAGCACAATTCCCTCCTCCAATTAACCGTCATAAATCACATTCCCCAATAAGCTTGAAGTGTGGGCTTCCTCTCCAGTACTCCAGCCCGCCAATTCCTTATCAGCTGCAGGCTTGGGATCCTGAACCAAGAAACCCACCCGTGGCTGGTGTTGCACGGCTATTGGGCGTGCCCCCTATGGCGATGGGGTTGCTGGTTCAAGTGCCTGAACTGGTAGTGACAATGTCACCATGGACCAACACAATATAATAGTAGTAATGATGTCTATATAAAACAAACAAGACAAAAAAATAATAGAATACATGTGACATTGCCATAGCAATATCCTCAACTTTGTCCCTATTTTTAGGGCTTTATACGTCAGCGATGAAAAACCAACCCTACTTTTTTAGGGGGGTTGAAACATGCTCTTTCTAATGAGAATGATTTAACAGAGTTTCCAGAAGGTCTTTTTTTGTAAAAGCAGACTGAAAATACCCTATTTTGGTGTTTTTACAAAAAATGTCAACTTTACACTCAATTTGTAAACTATTGGAAAGCAGTAGGAGAATGACATTTTATATTTGAAAACCTTGTGTTGCTAAGTTATTACACGCAAAGTTTCACATTTATCATACCTTTCCTTCCAGAGATATAAAAAGCCAAACTTTAAACTTTTTTTTGAGTCGCAATATTTTCGGCCAACTTTGCTCCGAATTATCTAGATGGAGATTGCTCATGAGAATGTGTTTATTATTTTGTTTAATAGAGCACAAAAAGTTGTACAAGATGGCCAAGTTTTGTTTCTCAACAAAATATTGCCGGAAATATTATGTCTCAAAGTTGCTGGAATCTCAGAGTCATACTGTAGAAGGCTCTTTTCAACTCCATAGCCATTCTTTGAAGTTGTTTTTTACACTTAATAGGTAATCTTGACAGTTCCGTCCATCTGCTGTTATCTTATTTGTAATTTTCACCTTGGGTCAAAATCCCCCTTTTTGATATTCCACTTAAAGTGTAAGTTCCTGTCTCCGGAGGAATTTTAGGCAGTAAACATTGAACAAACCTTCTCACACATTTGGCAGTGCATTGCTACATTTGCGTTACAGTGTTACATTTGTGTTAAATAGACAGTCTCACAATTATATTTCTACAATTTATAAAAGAATAACTTTTATTTCCTTCACTAATGATTATTTGCCTGCCATAGTTATTTTTATTTTTATTCTATTTTGTTTGTATTGTGTATAAGTTTTATAAACTTTTATCTTTTTAATATTGTAAGCCGCCCAGAGTTACCCTGTGGTAAGATGGGCGGTCAATAAATTAAATAAATTGTTCATTGAATATGACAGGCGTCTGGGCTTATGCATTGTGCTGAGCTGCAAACTCATAAACTATATTTAAATTAATGCAGCTTATAATTCTGTGTTTGTCTGATAGGATTGCATGTTAGTTGTTACCTGAATCCCATTGATTTCAGTAGGATCAAAATTTACTGGAGCAAGTGACTGAAGTCATACTTTACCACCTGGAGAATCCTGATGAGTTCACTTTTCTCTTGATTATAAAACGGGAAGTCTATCAATCAATTTTTATTACAGTCACAGACCACCATTACAAATACTGTAAAAGCATTAATAATAATGAAATAAAAATAAAAAGCAGACAAAGTATTATATTACAATTAGTGGTGGATTATCAGTGGGCAGTTAGAGTCTGCCTAATTTTGTATACAGTATAACAAAATTTGGCTATGTTCAAACGAACTACTTCATACTGATCTGATAACAGCAGTTTTACATAGAAGAGATCAGTGTTTCCCAGGTATTTTATCAGGTAAGGTGTTATAAAGTGGGTCCATGAGTCCTTATAGAAGACACAGTATAGTAGGACATGAGCTATAGTTTTGATCATTCCTTGTCCACAGGGGCACAATCTCATCTCATATGGTATTTTTTTTGTATCAGCCCTCCAAAACTGCTGTGGGAAGTGCATTGCAGTACATGAAAGTTAATGCCCTTCGCATTTTGGGGACAGTTACTGTAAATAATATAAGTATCTCAATGCTTTAAAAGGGGGGGTGGGGTTGACTGCTCAAAAAATGTTCTTGGGAAGAGATAAAACAGGAAGTTTGTATACCTAATGGCAATGTAAAATAAGCAGTTACCTAGGAAGTATCTTACTACAGCTTTTCTGAGGGATTAATATGAACTGTAGAGAATTTTCTAGCATTTTTATGAGATTTTACAGTGGCTTAAATAATTTTCTCTATTCTTTTCAATAAACAAGCCATTATTTCTGTGACTAGGAAAAGCTGCGACTTCAGGGTCAAATAACTGAAGGCAGTAACATGATCAAAACAATTGCTTTCGGCCACTATGAACTGGACACCTGGTACCATTCCCCGTACCCAGAAGAGTATGCCAGGCTTGGGTGCCTCTACATGTGTGAATTCTGCCTCAAATATATGAAGAGTCAGACAATACTTCGCAGACACATGGTAAGTTTTTAATTTAGGCGTGTGAAATGGAAAATTATTTCTTTATTCAAATTTGTTATAGCTGCCCAAACTCCAATGCACTCTGGATAGTATACAGAACCAAAAAATTCTAAAAACAGGTAAAACATAAAAGCACACAGACAGCCTAGACTAAAACAATCTAAAAATAACTGTGATGGATAAATAATAAAATAAAGCTGCAAACTTTTCCAAACTCCTCCCCTTTTTTTCTTTGCTTCTCCTTTCTTCCTCCTCCCCCCTCCCCCGCCTCTCCTGTTGCAAACTCTTTCCCCGTTTCCCTTTGCTGCCCCAGGCTAATGCGTAACTCAAACATGGCTATGTTTCCGCTGCCAAAATAGCCTTTTAATCCTAACACAAAGAAAACAGTGAAAATTCCTCACCTAAAATAAGTTCATCTAGGAAGCAGGAGGTAACAAACCACAGATATCCCATCCTCTTTACAATGGAATCCTTAGCAGCTTTGTTTTATAATAGAAAAATGCATTTTCCTTTGTTTCATCAGTTATATCACTTGCTTAAAATATGTCCACAAATCAAAGCAGGCACCCAATGATCATTGAATAAAGCTTGGCTATTTCTCCTCAGTGTTGTGCTCCTTTCTTTGGTGAAAATTCCATGACATAACACGAATCAAATAAAACAGGAACTCCAAAAATACAATAATACATTAATATATTTTGTATTGTATTCGGAAACTACAGCTGGTACAGAGTGTGGCGCCATGGGCAGTTCCTGGGGCCTCAAGAATGGTCCATGTAACACCACTGGTCCATGAGCTGCACTGGCTGCCAGTTTGCTTCCAAGTGCAATTCATGGTATTGGTAATCACCTTTAAAGCCCTTCATGGCATGGGTCCAGGCTACTTGAGGGACCCTCTCATCCCACTGGGATTGACCTGTCCTTCCTGTGGTGGCAGAGGAGGCATGCTGCAGGCCCCGTTGGCCCAATTATTCTGGCTAGCGGGGTCCAGGAGAAGGGCCTTCTCTGCCATTGCACCTGCCCTCTGGAACATCTTGTCCCCCGATGTGAGGTTGGCCCCAACCGTCCTATCTTTTCGTAAGGGCCTAAAGACCTGGCTCTGCCAGTTCAGAATGGGACAACTTGGCTGCAGCCAACTCGCCATGGCCATCTTGCCATGGTCAATTCGCTGCAGTCAACTTGCCATGGCCAACTTGCCTCGGGACAACTTGCCATGGCCAACTCACCACAACACAACTTGCCACAGGACAATTTAACAATTCAATTTTGTTCCTCCTTTGGCATCCTTTCTTTAATGATTCTATTCCACAATTTCTTCAATATTAGTGTAACTCTTGTCCCGCAGTGAGTTTTCCCACGATGAGTTGGCCATGGTGAGTTGACTGGCGAGTTGTCTGCGGTGAGTTGTCCTAGACCCCTGCCAGTTGGCTTGGGGCCCCAATGGGGAGCAGCACAGTGGAGGTGGTTGATTGAGTAAAACAGATCCCACCTCCCCCTATGCTGCCCCTGCCCTCCCCACCTGTAATTTGATTTTAATGGTTGGTTTTAACTTATTTGTGTGTCTGTGTCTGTGTCTGTATACACACACACACACATATATAGAAAGAGAGAGAAAGAGAGATTTTTATGATTGTAAGCTGCCCAGAGTTACCCTGTGGTAAGATGGGCAGCCAATAAACTATAAATAAAAAATGTATTAATGTATAATACAAATATGTATATTAATATGCATTAAACAAATTATTTTTAAAAGTCTTGAAACAAACATCAACAGCAAATCTTATCTCTCTGATGTGATCTCCTGGTGATCCTGATTTTTGGAGCCCAAATCTGGTAGCTTTCATCCTAGCTCTTCTTGTATTTAAACCCACTTTTTGCCCTGGTGATATACTCTGATTGAAAATAATACAAGGAGAGACAGGCTTGCTCTGTGTTTTTGATCTCTTACACAAGATACAACCTTTTCAATTTTTTCTACCAGGGTAGGAGGACATCCTGGGAGAAAATACGAAATTAATTCCATTAAAGAATTGCTTCATTTCAGCAAGGGGTTACTTTAATCACGTGTTATTATAGAATTCTTCTAAATCTATGTTGTCTATATCTAAACATAATTTTGCATATGGTCAGGAACATACTGTCTCCTTCCAATGCTTTTGAAATTTAGTCTTGTTTTTACATGTGACTGTAAAAAATGCAGTTTGTACCTGCCTGTGAATTCTCTGGGAAAAGATGGGAAATGCTGCCAATAAATTAATTCTGAAGAATGAGGCCATGACCCCATCTTGAATAACCATCTCCAGCAGCAGAGAATCCATTTTGGGTCTTCTACCTCTTTTTCCAGTGCTTAATTGTGGCTACCTTACTACTTTAGAGAAGAGTGGCTCTTGTAATGAGGTTTATGGCAACTGAATTAGTGCTACTGATTGGACTAGATCAGTATGGAATCACCTGTTAGAATCTATACCGAGCTGGTCACAAGGCTCTGTCCTTCCAAGCAGCTTCACATTCAACTTCTAATATGAGTGGCAATGACTCCTGTGGCTGGCAGTCATAGCTGGAGTAGAAATCATAAGGTTTGTGATGGTGGGTGGGGAGACCAAGTCACTTGTTAAGCTTTTCAAGCTTAGAAGACAGTACATGTTTACCATCGGCTTAAATTTAGCTGAACCCAGATCAGTAATTGATTGATTACTTGCCATCAAGCTGGTGTTGACGTTTAGTGACCACATAGTTTTTGTCCATGACAATCTGTACCTAACTTGGTCTTTCAAGATCAGTTATTAGAATCTAATTATTAAATATCTCTGTATTTTTTCAAATTCTGCCCATAGTGAGCCAGAACCTAAAGGCATAGTAATTCATGTATTCTTGTTGAGCATAGACAGTATTTTGTGTTTGCAAATGTATACATGCACACTGTTAGAATGATCCGCTCCTATTAAAATGAGTGTTGTTGTGGTAGAAAAACTTTAGGAGACCTATTTTGTCTGATTAAAAGGAAGGAATGAAACACTTTTCAAAAGACCCATGTAATGTAAATCAGAAGCAGTATGCAAAATGAACAGAAACAGAATTTGAAAAACAAATCTGGATTATTGTCTAGTCAAAGATTTAAATTTACAATTTGTTATTGGTATTAGAGGTATTTAGATACACCTTTTTTCTTTATTTTGTCATTATTACATATAATGTTAATATTGTTTATATAGTTGTAGCTATGCATGCTTTCTTTTAATTAATTTTATATGATGAAATACTTTAAAACAGCTTACCCAGTGCACATTGGTCAATAGCCGATACCAAATACCAGCTTCATTTTGTTTTCTGAATAGAAGAGGCCTTATTGCTTCTGAGTCCAAAGCAATTACATTTTTCTCTTTGGTGTTATATTTTAAAACAATTGTCACAGTAAAGCTTGTCTATCATTCTTCATAGGCAAAATGTGTCTGGAAGCATCCTCCAGGGGATGAAATCTACCGCAAAGGCCCAATCTCAGTATTTGAAGTAGATGGGAAAAAGAACAAGGTAACTCTATGTATATGGAGTAGTATTCTGGGAAGAAGAGAGCTTGTGCCTTTTGTGGGCCATTTGTAAGCCATACAGGTGGCTTTGCTAGAAATTTTTCATCACTGATGCTAATTAGCCAGAAACATGGAAGACATTTAAACTGGTTTAGCATCCTAAACCTGGTGTCTTCCCAGTATGTTGGCTGCTACTTCCATCTTTTCATTCAGCATTGGTTTTGCTGATTGGGTGAAGAAGTCCAACAAATCTAGAAGATCGCAAGTTGTGATGTGGCCCGGGACAGACTTCTTTGTGGTACTGCTGTCGCAACCCTTTTATAAAGAGTAGGTTAGTTCCAAAAAGTTTTGCTTTCAGAGTGTGGGTTCAAAGAAGTATAATTTAGGGAAAGAAGGAAGGAATGCTTTCAAGTTATATGGAGAAGAGGGAGATAAAGAAACATAACATAGCATTTCACATTTTGCCAATGTTCAGGATGTTTGTTTCAGTTTTTTTAGATACATGCTCAGACAGCCCTTTTCCCTGACTAGTTTTGAAACACTTCCCTCATAGACAATTTCAGTGGCTTTTTTCGTAGTTGTATGGGATCCAGGTCATCCCTCCCAACTACAGTCTTCTTATCAATAAATCTCCCTGTCCTCTGCTGTAAAAACCTTGTGGAAGTTTCTTAAAGGTGAGATTTATTGGTGGCGTAGTATGAGATGGCAGAGCTATGACATGAGAAAATAGGTCCTAACTTTGGACTGTAGGTGAAGGAATTATTCTTTTTGAGTGCTTCCCTACATAAATATTGCAAATGTTGCAATATTTGGGGCAAATACTGTATTGAACTGTCTCAGTAGGAAAATGATTGGTCAAAGAAGTGTCTGTCTGATGAAGATGTTTCATAACTGATAGGAGTTCTTAATTGAGAAGTAATCAGAAAAACTCTTTCCCTACCTGGGTGAGATGATAAAATCTGTTTACTCATCTTCACAATCTCTCACTCCACTCTGCTGTCCATAAAGGTCTGGAGCAAAATTAAATAGGTAAATAAGATGATGACAGTCCTAGATTGTACCAGTTCATCGCAGAATTCATGTCATGTTCTTGTTTACTGTTTCAAAGCTAAAAAGGTACTTCAGGGCATTTGGGGACACTCACATAACATCTATGCAAATCCTTAAATCACTTACATCTTTTTCCAGGGCCATGCAGCTGCTCTCTGCAGTTATAGGTAGTCCTTGAGATATGACTGGTCACTTAACAGCTGTTTGAAGTTACGACAGACCCCCCCCCACACACACACAAAGCTACATGTGACCCTGTTTCAAAGTTATGGTGGATGCAGTGCCCCCCATGGTCATTTGGCCATACAACCAACCACAGGGACGCTGCAGTGCCCTCCGTCTCTCTCCCCCCCATCTGGCCCCAGCAGGATCCCACAGCACTTGGGTCTGCTCCTCATGCCTCCTAGAAGCAGCCGCCATTTTCAGTATTCCAACAATTCCTTGCGGAAAATGGTGGTTTCTTTCAGAACTTTCTGCCCTAATCAGCTGGCTTTCAGGAGACTGCAAACTACTCCTGGCTCTTGCTAGGCTTTGGGGAAGCCAACCGCCTGCATGCAAAGTTGACAGCTTCAGGACAAGCTTCCCAAAACTACCCTTCCAGCTTTTTTTTGTTTTCTTTATTGAAAAAATGTGGGTTTCTGGGGGGGGGAGGGCATTAAGCAAGGGAAAGGTCATCCTGAAGCTGCCACCTTTGCGTGTAGGTGGCTGGCTTCCCCAAAGCCTAGCAAGAGCCAGGAGAGGTTTGCAGTCTCTTGACGGCCAGCTGATCAGGGCAGAGGACCAGCCTGCATGGAGGCTTGTTTGGAAGCCTCTCTGGGATTGGAATGTGCTGCTGGACCTTAATGTAGCTATGCTGTTCCCCACTGCTGGGCTGTTTTTGGCTTTGCAAAACTTTTTGTTGCTTGTCAGCCTCCTTTATGAACCCAGCTGAGTGGCGGGCCTCCCAGGACCTCCCCCAATCATGAGATACCCCAAGCTCGATTAATGACCTGCATGTTCATAGCATCAGGAAGAGCAGGGGGTGGGGTTCATTAAGTGAGGCTGTCTCACTTAATGGTTGTCACCTCTTGCGAACGTAATGGGCAGGCTACATTACAGTCGTAGGTTGAGGACTACCTGTACAGCACAATCCTGGGACAATAGAGATTTGTAACTGCTACTCACCAAGTATTAACCAAATGGGGGGAGGAGTGGGGATTCTGGCTCATTATTGCTTTGTCTGGAACAATCTTCATTGGAATACTAAGATAGCTCTACCTATTGGTTGTCCATAGATTTTGTGGTTCAGTTTGTAGGAACTCTATCTTGTGATAAGTACTGGGAGGGTAGATCATCTCCTGCTAATCATTCTTGTAAGTTATTAATATCTTGATGCTCTTTCTGATTTTTCCAGATATATTGCCAAAACCTGTGCCTTCTGGCAAAACTCTTCTTGGACCATAAGACTCTGTATTATGATGTTGAACCATTTCTTTTCTACGTCATGACAGAAGCTGATAACACAGGATGCCACCTAATAGGCTATTTTTCCAAGGTTAGTAATAACCATCTGGGATCTGTTCCATCAGCAGGGTTTTGTGCATCAAAACAGTGTGAGGATGGGTATACTGCCTTAGCTTAACATCTGGAAACAAGGCAGCTCAGAAGTAGAATACCTGCTAAAAGAAAAATTTGTTCAAGCTAGCATTGAAATTTCCAAAATATTGGCACAATTGGGGGAGAGGGGGGATATAGAATTTTTTGGATGTACAGTCACTTTTATTATAACATAACATTTATTACAGGTAGTCCTTGACTTATGACCACAATTGGGACCAGATTTTCTGTCACTAAGCAATACGGTCATTAAGCGAGTCATCCCATGACAGGACCCAATTTATGAGCATTTTACTACAGTTTTAAGTGAATCATGTGGTTAAGTGAATCTGTCATGCTGCCCCCACTTAACCTCCAAATAGAAATGATCCTTGGCTCCATTTGTTGAGAAAGGTATAGTTTTATTAGAGATCAAGTGGATTGCAGTAATGCATAGCCAGAACTGAGATTTGTGTGCCAAAATCCCAAACGTTATACTTTCCCCTTTCCCCCTCCATGATTGGTTTTCATTTCCCACCCCAAGGTATCCAATTAAAATCTTGCAAGCTGTTACGGTCCTAACGGTCAGTTCAGGAGTGGTCTGGTATGCCATCCCCTCCTTCTTCTATCTGAGTGACCTTGAAGCTATACCTGGGAAGATACTGGAAAAAATAATTAAAAAAAACAGATGTGTGAACATCTAGAAACAAAGTTGTAACTAGAAGCCAGCACAGGTTTGTTAAAAACAGATCATGCCAAATCAATCTTATTTCATTCTTTGACAGAGTGACTAAATTAGTAGACCAGTGAAATGCTGTGGACATAGTATACTTAGACTTCAGCAAGGCATTCAACAAAGTAGACCAAAACCTACTTCTTGGTAAAGTAGAAAAATGTGGGATAGACAGCATCACCACCAGATGGATTTGTAACTGGCTGACAAACCATACTCAACAAGTAGTCCTTAATGGTACTAGATACTACATCTACTGTACGTGGAGGGAAGTAAGCGATGGATTACCACAAGGTTCCGTCTTAGGCCCGGTACTCTTCAATATCTTCATAAATGACTTAGATGAGGGAATAGAAGGGGAACTCATCAAATTTGCAGATGACGCTAAGCTGGCAGGAATAGCCAACACCCCAGAAGACAAGCTCAGGATCCCAAAAGATCTTGAGAGACTTGAACAATGGGCCCTATCCAACAACATGAAATTTAATGTGGAGAAAAGCATGGTTTTACACCTGGGCAGGAAAAACCAAAGGTACAAGTACAGATGAGGCGAAACCTGGCTGAAAAACAGTAACTGTGAGAGGGACCTTGGAGTCCTAGTGGACGATCACTTAAACATGAGCCAGCAGTGTGTGGCAGCAGCCCAAAAAGTTAATACAATCCTTGGTTGTATAAACAGAGGCACAGAATCAAAATCAGTATTAGTACCGCTTTATAAAACCTTAGACCACACCTGGAATACTGCATCCAGTTTTGGTTACCACATTACAAAAAATATGTTGTGACTTTGGAAAAAGTGCAAAGAAGAGCAACTAAGATGATTAAGGGCCTGGAGACAGAAACATATGAAGAACAGTTGCAGGAATTGGGTATGGCCAGTCTAGAGAAAAGAAGGACTAGGGGTGGCATGATAGCAGTATTCCAGTATTTGAAGGGCTGCCAGAAAGAAGAGGGGGTCAATTTATTTTCCAAAGCACCAGAAGGCAAGACAAGAAACAATGGATGGAAACTAATCAAGGAGAGAAGCAACCTGGAATTAAGGAGAAACTTCCTAACAGTGAGGACAATTAAGCAGTGGAACAGCTTGCCTTCAGAAGTTGTAGGTGCTTCATCACTGGAGGTTTTTAAGAAAAGACTGGACAACCACCTGACGCCAGGTCAGTGGTGAACAAAGCCCCCCTCATTCAAGATCTTATTCAAGAGGGGGGCGCGGACCTGGCAGGTATCACCGAGACCTGGCTGGGCACGGAGGGGGGAGTGCCCCTCGTAGACATGTGCCCGCCGGGTTTCCAGGTATTCCATCAGCCAAGGACCCGGGGTAGGGGCGGTGGGGTAGCGGTCATTATACGGGAGAACCTATGCCCAAGGGAGACC